AACTATGGCCATATACAACAATGCATGCATGACCCAAAACACTTAAAAAAGAGCTAAGGAAGCCCAAAATATGGATAAAATTAGTTTGGATCATGGCCAAAATATGCTAGGAAAGAGGGCCAAAACATCATGCAACACAAGCTAGTGAACCATGATTTACACTACAACCATATGAAGCACATGAGAGGCCACCAAACCAGTCAAAAACAGAATCATGGCATGTCCAATGAAGCCCAAAAACCCACCGAAATATAGTCCATGCATGCAAGAATGATAGGCTCCTTTGATAGGCCATAAAGAGGGTTGTTTTACACATGCAAGATGGACATCCTAAATGACAAAATCAGCTCTGGACAGAGGTTATGAAGGCCCTAAAACTCACTGAAAAGGGCTTGAAATGTGACTTGGAAACATGCAAGTATAGGCTCCTTTGTTAGGCCCAAAATGCTAGAAAACAAAACAAGGGGTGAGAGGGTCACCCCTCTCTGATTTTGGTGCTCCAAAACATATAATAACCACTAAAAATCTGCTGGATTTCAGTGGTAAAAAAGGCCAACAAAGCTCAACACAAAGGCCCTATTGCATGGCTTAAAACAAAGGGAAATGAAGCATGCAAGGGGGTAGATGACCCCCAACAGAAAAATAATCTTAAACAAACATGTTAAGGACCTCAAAATAAGGCTTTTTTCAGTTTATGACAAAGCCCAAATAAGCTTTCAAACTAGGCTAAGAGATGGAACAAAACAATGCTAAAAGAGGGAAATAGAGTGTTACCCTTGTAGCCAAAGAGACCAGCAGCTTCTGGACCAAAATAGCACACCTTCAACCTCTGAAAACCAGCTTCAAGGTGCTTAGGTTGATGATGGAAGTGTTATGCTAGGAGATGGTATGCAAAGGGGTCAAGAACTATGCAACTTTAGAGCCCAAGTGTAAAGATATAGAGAGGGAGGTGTATATGCCTTAGACAAATTTTCTGAACCTTTGCAAATGAGGGAGAGGGTTTCTCTTATAGAGGAACAAAGGTCCAAGCTTCTTCAAGAAGCTTGTGCAAAGGTCCAAGCTTCTTGAGGAAGCTAGAGCAAAAGGGTCAAGCTTCTTCAAGAAGCTAAAAAGGGTCAAGCTTCTCTTAGAAGCTTAGAGCAAAGGGCCAAGCTTCTTTAAGAAGCCAAAACAAGGTTGCCAATCCTCCATACACGTGTATGGAGGATGTAGTCTGTGCCCTCCAGCTGGCACAGCTGGCACACACTCACAGAGACAGAAAAAGGGAAAAGTAGGCCGACCAGTTCAAGTGGTCGGCTAACCACCTAGCCTAGTTGGCCGACTAGTTCAAAAGGGTCAAGTTGATGAATGGTGGTCGGCAGCCTCAATTGGTGGTCTCCCAATTCAATGCAAGCCAGTGGTGTGGTGGGAGACCAGCAATTGTGGCTCAAAAAGTCAAGGAGACCAGCTACCTGACAAGAAAAATCAGCTGGCAGGGAAAAGTGGTCTCTAAGGAGAAAATATGGTCTCCCACCCTAGTACCACCTTTCAAACAATGAAAATAGGGTCTATGCCAAAAATGAACCAAGACGGATGTAAAACAAGGGTTCGGGGGCCAAAACGCGTGGCCGGAGGCCCCAAAAACTGACTATTAAGCATCGAAAGTGGCGTGCGACCACGAAGGTGGTCTCCCGGGCCACAGTGTCCCTCTAGAGAGAGGAAACAAGGTGTGTGCCAAAAACCGAAGCAAACAGAGAAAGTTAAGCGGTCCCGAACCAAGGTGCACGGCCGACGGCTTCGAAAATCGAAAACTGGTCTCCAAACGGGAACAATGGTCTACGACCACGAAAAGTAGCCTACGGCCACTAAGAGATGGTCTACGAGACCTCTCCCTTCCTTTGAGAAGAGGGAACAGAACCTAGTTCGCAAATCGAGGCAAAACACAAAAGAGTCTCGAAGTCTAGAGGCAAGGCTCTCTGCCGAGACTCCGTAACCTTAGAACGAGCACAACATGCACTTTCACTGAGCACTTAATCAATGACATCTGAGTCTTAAGGTCGGTCAAAAATGGGGTGTCTACAATCGGCCTCTACTAATCGTGATGTGATTTTTATGTATAGTATATGCTCATGTTCTAATTATTATGCTAACTTACTATGTGAGGCACACAAGTATAGACAATTTCATCCACTTTGGAATGCTTTGTTTTCATGTTTGTTTGAAAATATTTTTGAATATGTGCTACTTGAATGAAAAGCAAGCTCATATATACATTTATCAAGTCATTCCAACTTAAGCGAAATAGCCTTTATCCACAAGCATTCAAAAAGATATTTCAAATAAGCACGTAGCCTCATGGTATTATGCTTGATATGGTAACATAAACACTCATGCAATATACTAAAGCAAAAATGCTCACTTAGTACTTAACCGAGGCAAGCCAAAGGAAATAAAATAATTAAAAAAATGCATGGTCCTAAATATGCAAAGTGACTAATGTGACACATACGAAAATGCAACTACTAAGTTCGGTTTATTAACATGTCATATGGATCAACTCAAAGCATGCGGTAACGCACGTATTCAAGTAAATAGGAAATGACAATGATATTAGAATGATAAACCGAATTTGATGCATGCAACAATGGATACAAAGCATAGCCATGATATGAAACGAAAAATATGATGCTACCACGATAAGCATATAAATAAAAGGAATGAAGAAATGGAGGTCGGAAGACATAAAAATATTACAAGTTTGTCCTCGCACAAGAGAGTCCGAATGAGTGTTGTAATTAACTAATTACTACAACATATTGAATAAACTAAATCAATTAATTATTACAAGTTCTAATGAAAGTAAAGCAACTAATTAATTACAACATATGAATCTAAAAGCTGTTAATCTAATTGATTTGGACGGGAGGTGAGGAATCGCATGTGGGCAACTAAGAACATCCTCCGAAACCTCTCTGTCTACTGCTAGAATCTGCTCTGTTCGTAGTCTGAAAATAATTATGTTTTGGCTCTAGATTTTTCTTTATTCTGCTATAAAAATGCCACTGCTTGTACAAAATAGGTGGGTGGCCGGCCAGCCTAATATAGTGGTCGGCTGTACAGAATGATGGTCGGCCTGCCACTACTTCTAGAGAATACCCTGTTGCAACAGAGTTGAAATAGAGCAAAAACAGAGTATTTTCAAGAGATGTTTATCTTCTCTACCCTTCCCTATCATGAAGATGATCAAGGGAGGAGCAAATTCAATTATCAAATCATCAATTATTGCAAATTTGTTGCATGATGACCTTAGGAATGATAGGAAAAGAGCTCAATAAATGGAATGAAAGATAAACAATACCTCATCCCTATCATGAAGTTTTCTCAATGGAAGGAATAGACTTGCCTCATGAATCATCAAACATCATAACAATAGTATGCGATGATTCAAGACACAATAGGTTCAGTGTAACGTCCGACTGAACCTAACTAAATTTTATTGCCTTTTTATCTTTTTTATTCCAATTTTATTAGCTTGTTTTACTTTAATTTTCCATTTTCTTATCTTTTCTTCATTTTTGTCCAAAGGTGATGATTACGTCCACTAAGTCCAATGCAATAAAGAAGTAACAAGCATAACTTATGTCATGACCCAAACCCAGTACCCAAAGGTTTGATGTCGTAACAAGATAATAAAAATAAAATAATTCTAAAATTACTGTATTAGTAGCACAAGCGGATAACTTATAAATAAATAAAATAAACAAACAAATGGGTACCAAAAGTTTATTAAAAGAAACAAAAATAGTCATTTGGGCTATTTATTTTATCACAAAAGTTCGATTTGAAATACAGATAGTAAAAAAAAATAAGCGATTTATTCCCTATCTTGATCTCGCTAAATCTCGTCACCTAAAAGGGGTAACAGCTAAAAGCACATAGCAGAGTGAGAAATATTATACTGTGAGTATAGGGGTACAAAATAGCCATGAATAGTTATTTAAGCTAAAACATTAACATAATTTAAGTTGAATAAACAAATTAATTAAGTGGCAGAAACTGAAATACAGAAGTTACGTAAATAACTATAACCACGGTACAAAACATAACAGAACAAAAGTCGCTGGAGTGAAACATAACAGGGGTCAATGGATCCATGACACACAGAGGACCACAAAGTGGCCAAACAGAAGCCAATGGTTTATTTAAGTTCCCTAAGGCGTGGGACTCCCGTGGTGGTACTTACAGAATATAATTGTTTATAAAATCATTGTCAAATAATTTCTAAAATTTAAACAAACATATCCATGGGTTTCAATTTAAGCAAATAGAGTTCAGAAAATAATCCATGTAATTGAGACATTAACATAACCACAAAACATAAATTATACAAAATAAATTGTGGTAACTCAAAACATTCGTAAAATATATTATGGTAACTCAAGGTATAATATAACTCACCTTACTATTGACCCTTAGCCTTCACTTTCCTATGATTGTCTCGTTATTCTCTGCTACTAGTACGTTGCTCCTAAGTTATTTGTATCTTTCCTATGTTTTCGAAGCTCCGTCAGTTGCTCCCTATTTATAGTTGGTGATTGCTTGGTTTCTAATTAAGTGGATTGCTCAAAATTGGCCACCTGTCTAACAAGTGCCATTTTCCCCTTCTATTAGGATGATTCACCTTAGCTATATTATTTAGTCACCATCCTATATATAAGGATGGTGATCAACCTTTGATTTAATTCGCATTTGGCCCAAGTTTGTAATAATCTAATTAGATTACATTTTATCACCTACAACCATAACATTAATTATTTTATTTTATTGTTATTATGATCGTGATTGGTTATGGTATTAATTACATATTTAGGGTGCATTATTATTTATTTATTAGTTTATATATATATATATTCTATTCATACGTAATTGATCTAATCACGATATTGAATTAAATTAAAAGAAATTCGGGTGTCACATTTCTCCACTCCTTAAAAGAAGTTTGTCCTGAAACTTGCCATACCTTACTTTTCGAAGAGGTGTAGGTACTTGGCCCGCATTTGACTCTCAGTTTCCCATGTCGCTTCTTCAACTCGATGATTCCTCCACAAAACTATTGCAAGGGGTATAGTCTTGTTTCGAAGGATCTGATCACGACGATCGAGAATTTGCACAGGTTGTTCTTCATGAGAGAAGTCTTCTTGAACCTCCAAGTTCTCATAATCGACAACATGCTCTGGATCTCGAAGATATCGACGAAGCATCGAAACGTGAAACACGTTGTTGACATTGGACAGTTCGGGTGGAAGTGCAAGGCGATATGCCACAGAACCAATCCTTTTTAGTATCTCGAATGGTCCGATGTAACGTGGGTTTAACTTTCCTCGTTTTTCAAATCGGATAACCCCTCTTGTGGGTGAGATCTTTAAAAACACATGATCTCCTATTTGAAATTCTAAGTCCCGTCTTTGTGTATCAGCATAGCTTTTTTGGTAGTTCTGAGCAGTGCAAATTCGCTGTTGGATGAGTTGAATTTTATCACTTGTAATTTGCACGATTTCAGGTCCTAGCAGTTTTCGATCTCCGACTTCCATCCAACACAAAGGTGATCGGCATCGTCTTTCATACAGTGCCACGCATGGTGCCATTTCGATGCTTGCATGATAGCTATTATTATAGGCAAACTCCACCAAAGGTAGGTGATCGTCCCAATTACGTTTGAGGTCTAGCATACACACATGTAACATATCTTCTAAAGTCTGGATTGTTCTTTCGGATTGCCCATCAGTTTGTGGGTGATAAGCCGTGCTAAACTTCAGAGTGGTTCCCAAAGCTTCTTGCAATTTGTTCTAGAAGTGAGACACGAAGCAGGGGTCTTTATCAGATACGATTGAAACTGGGGTGTTGTGTAAACGAATGATTTCCTTAATGTACAAAGTGGTGAGCTTAGTAAGGGAGTACGTGATTCTGATTCGCAGAAAATGCGCTGACTTCGTCAATTGATCTACGATAACCTATATTGCGTCATTCTTTGAGACTGATTGTGGTAGCCCGACCACGAAGTCCATAGTAATGGGCTCCCATTTCCATTTAGGAATGGGGAGTGATTTCAACATTCTTGCAGGTCTCTGATGTTTTGTTTTAACCCGTTGACAATATAGGCATTTAGAGATGTGGCTTGCTATGTCTTTCTTCATTCTTGTCCACCAGAAGCGTTTCTTCATCTGGTGATACATCTTTGTATTGCCAGGTGTAGCTTGCTTTTTCGTGCCCCATTTCGGAAGACAAAATAAGCCTTACAGTATCGGACTCCAACAGTTCTAAATCTAATCTCACAAGTGCAATATGAAATTGATAAACACCAAAGAGTCCAAATCCGGCAAATCTTTTGGAAAATCGATTTTGAATCAAATTGCCAAAAATGGACTACTTTGCTATATACAGAGTCGCTACCTAAATATTTTTGGGAAATCTAGGAAACCCATGACTCGTGCCAAAGGCCATGTGTCCGTCATCACCAAGATTGTCTCGGTTCGGGAACTTAGGTACGAGAGGGGAAGGTCATGAATGCATTTGAGTACCCCCGCTCACTCGATCAAAGATTGGCCTCTACTAATCATGATATTAATCTTATTTACATTATATGTTCTTGTTCCAGTTTATTAGGCTAGAATTACTATGTGATGCACACACATAAGTATAGACTAACTTGCAAGAATTAGAACACTTTGAGTCATGTTTGTTTTGAAAATTGTTTCGAATATGTACCACTTGAAAAAAGTGATCGCATATGAACATTGTTCAAGTTATTCCAATTCAAGAAAATAGCCTTCATTCATAGGCATTCAAGCAGTTTATCATTTTAAGCAATCAGCCTCATGGCAAGCATGCTAAACATGGCAACATTCACACTCATGCAATATGTTAAAGCGAGTAAAGGCTCCCCTAGTACTCTAAGCCAAAATAAACAAAAGAGTTAGAAAAATACATGATCCTAACTTATGCAATATGACTAATGCAACACATGCAACAAATAGGCTCGGCTACTAATATGGCACATAAAGCAATTTAAATAGCATGCGGTCTAAGCACATATTCAAAGAATGCATAAGCAATAACAACACAGTTAGAATGATGCGCCGCGCCTCGGTGCATGCAATACAAGTAGATGCAAACATGAAGTATGCTAAACAAAACATGATGTCCTTAAACTAACCATCATAAGCTAGTAAATAAAAAGGAAAAAGACGTGGGGTTAGAAGACATACACGTTATTACATTGTGCTCTCACGAAGGAGAGTTCGAATGAATAAGCTAGCTAACTAACTAATTAAAGCTAAGCTAACTATTACAAAACAAATGAAATTAGATAAATTACTTAACTAATTACCACAAAATCATATGAATTAACTAAGTATTCTAGTTAACTAACTAATTATAAAACGAAATTGAATAACTAATTAACTAACTAATTAGAAAACACTTGACAAAATTAACTAGTTACAACTAATTAATTACAACAATAAGCTAAGCTAAGTATTTAAACTTAAAACAAGCTCAGAATGCAGGGGATGCTTATGCACATGCTCGGTTTCCACCTGAAAAGCCACTGTTTTGCTTCCGGAGAGCCTTTGTTGCACAACAGAACACTAACATTGTTGCCCACTTCTAGAACAGCTCTGCTTGGCCTAAAGAATAAACTGCTGAATTTTGCATCAGTGGCTGGCCGACCGGCCAGTGATAAGGGTTGCCGGCCACTAGTGATGGCCGACCGACCATCAATGGTGGTCTGCCGGCCACCTGCTGGCCATGGAAAGCGGTCTGCTGGCCACTGTTGCCCAGTTCTCCTTGCTGCAACAGAGGATAAACAGAGCATATAAAGGGTATTTCAAGGGTTTGTTTGCACAACTCACCCCCCATTTTCATGAACAAATCAAAGGAGTAGCAAGTTTGGTTCACAAACCATCAATGGATGCAAATTCATTGCATGATGGCTTGTGAAACCAAGTGTGCAAGTTCAATAAATGCAATGAAAATGAAACTCTCAAAGCCACCTCCTTATCATGAAAGAACAAGGGAAGTGATGACCTTGGAGACTTGAGTCATTTCATCACTAGTAAGTATGAAATGGCCCAAGTTTTTATGTATTCAATTAACGTCCGATTGAACACAACCAAATTATTATCTTTTACCATTTTAGCCTCAATTTAATTACTCCATTTTAGGTTACCAACCATTATTTAATTCATTGAGTCCAAAGGGTGGGTTTAAGTCCTCTAGTGGAGTGAAGTACCAAACCAAGAGTTAACTTAAGACATGAAAAAAATGTCATGTTATTGGTAATGAACCACTAAAAGGGGTTAAACCATTAAGCATGACAACCTCAATCTCATGCTTAAAAGAACAAGAGGCTTGAAACAACTCTCAAAGCAAAGCAAAAAAGCCAAGAAAGGAGAGAGATTGCAGAGATTATTAGTGCTAAAAATGAGTGAGAAAAGCATAAATAAATGCTATCAACTTAAAGGAGATGGTGTCTAAGGCCTAGAATACCAAGCTCATGAGGACTATTACACTACAAGCATACAAAACAAAGCTCAAATACAACTAACAACCCAAAATAGTGCTAAAATAGTCTAAAATAAGTCCTAAAACATGCTGGAATTAAGATAAAAAAGTCTAGATTAACATGCTAAAACATAGCACAAACTAGGATAGTAAGCAAGACACAAGGAGGGGAGGCTAATCCCTCCAAATTTGGACTTCAAAACATAATTTTAGCCACCGAAATAACTCTGAAAATCAGTGTTTAAAAGCTCAAAAAAAGATGATAAAATGGTGGGAAACACAAGGGCAAAGGCCTCCAAAACAAGGTACAAAGAAGGGTTATCAACCCCTCAACCTTTAATGGCCTTAAAACCCAAGCTTCAGCCAAAAAACACAGAGTTTTTATATCCCAAAAACAGTTGGAAAATAGCAAGAATAATAGTAGAGAAAGCAAGCAAATAGGTAAAGCCTTACACCTCTTGAAGAGAAGAAGCAATTCAAGCAACGAAACCAAGATAACACACCCTTCAAGAACTCAAACCAAGCTCAAAAGCACCTCAGCTCAAAGATGAGAAGGTTTGGTTAAGGGTGTATAGGCAAAGGTTAAGGATTTGTAGGCAAAGTGTAGAAATTGGCTAGAGAGAGAGAGAATTGTAGAGAGAGGAAAAATTGTGATCTCAAAATTTTCTAACCTTAAAACAAGAGAGGAAGGTCTCCTATATATAGAAAACTTGAATTCTTTACAAGGATATCCAGCTCTACACGTGGGTGAAGATGCACACATCTGTGTAAACAGCTGGCACAGCTAGCACAAAATATCTGCAAAAGAAACTGGTAGCTAGCCGGCCATCGCTGGTGGCCGACAGCCAAAAAGTGATGCAGGCTTGAAAACCACAGGGTTTGGTCCAAGAATGAGGCAACAAGGGTATAGAGTTTGAAAGGTTCAAAGCGGTGGCATTCTGCTGAGGACTTCAAGCACTAAGCGAGCATATAAACTCATCATCGGGTGTGCATGCAATGGGGATCTAAGTCGTAAGGGCCGTAAAAACTGGGGTGTCTACACTAGGGTGGATCGCAAACCTCGAGCTATGAGCTTCTACCAATATCTTTTTCTTGAGTTTTGGAAGGTCGGGTACGCAAATTTGATTCTGAAATTTTAGTATCCCATTGCTTATCGTGAAGTCAAGATCAGGCATGCTTCCTTACTCGTACTTTTTCTTCAAAAGTTTATCTTCACATTGGTGGACTCTAATTTCTTCAATCAACTCGGGTTCCATAATTATGCTGGCGAGCAGTCCATTGATCTTGCGGGAAATGAGGGTACTTGCCAAACTTTTGGTCCTTGCCAAACTTTTGGTCGTCTTTCGACTCAATGAGTCTACTACTATGTTAGCTTTGCCGGGATGGTGATAGATCTCTATATTGTAGTCATTTATAAATTTTAGCCATCGTCGTTGCCTCATATTCAGTTCATTCTAAGTAAATAGATATTTAAGACTCTTGTGATTAGTGTGAATCTCGCAGGTTGCACTGTAGAGATAATGACGCCAGATCTTGAGGGCGAAGATCATCGTAGCCAATTCTAGATTATGGGTTAGGTAGTTCCTTTCGTGAGTCTTTAGTTGGCAGGAGACATAAACAATGACCTTCCCATTTTGCATAAGAACGCAACCCAAACTATTGTATGAGGCACTGCTATAAATTATGAACCCTTCTGTTTCCACGGGAAGTGCTAGTATAGGAGCTGTTACGAGTCTGTTCTTCAATTCTTGGAAACAACGTTTTTGCTTGTCCGTTTATTCAAAGGGTGTGTTTTTTTGAGTTAGTTGGGTCAAGGGTGATGCTACCTTTGAGAAATCTTGCACGAAGCGCCGGTAATAGCCGGCTAGACCCAAGAAGCTTCGAATCTCGGACACGTTAGTAGGTCGTGGCAAATCCATAATTACTGCAACCTTTTGGGGGTCAACTGAGATGCCGTCTTTGTTAATGATGTGACCGAGGAAGTGTACACTAGTGATCCAGAATTCGCATTTCTTCAACTTGGCATAAAGTTTGTGATCACGTAGTGTTTGTAGAATCATTCACAAGTGTTGTTCATGGTTGT